TGATTGTGCTAACAGGATTGAAGAATATTTTCCAGAAACAGTTACCTAAAATGCCCCGTGAATATATTTCTCGTTTGGTTTATGACAGATCACATTTGTCAATGGCAGTGGTTAGAAAACCACTTACAGTTGTGGGAGGTATAACATATAGACCATTTAATAATCGTGGATTTGCAGAAATTGTCTTTTGTGCCATTTCTTCTACTGAACAAGTTCGTGGTTATGGTGCACATTTGATGAATCATTTGAAGGATTATGTTAGAGCAACATCACCAATAAAGTATTTTTTGACATATGCTGATAACTATGCTATTGGTTACTTTAAGAAGCAAGGGTTTACAAAAGAGATCTCGTTAGACAAATCTGTATGGATGGGTTATATAAAAGATTATGAAGGTGGTACCTTGATGCAGTGTTCCATGTTGCCTAGCATATTGAGATATCTAGATCTGGGGAAGATTTTACTTTTGCAGAAAGCTGCAATTGAGAGGAAAATAAAATCGAGATCAAAGTCGAATGTTGTAAGGCCTGGATTACAAGTATTTAAGACCAATCAAAACGTGACTTTGGATCCAAAAGATATACCTGGCTTGCTAGAGGCAGGGTGGAATGAGGAGATGGATAAGTTGGCTCAAAAACCTAAACGAGGACCACATTACAATTTCATGGTTACTTTATTCAGCGAAATGCAAAACCACCCTTCAGCTTGGCCATTTGCTGTTCCCGTGAACAAGGAAGAAGTTCCTGACTATTATGAGGTAATAAAAGAGCCAATGGATTTGTCAACTATGGAGCTGAAATTGGAGAATGATAAATATGAATCGTTTGATCAATTCTTATATGATGCCAGATTAATTTACAAGAATTGTCGATCCTACAACGGTGAGACAACAACCTATTACAAGAATGCAAATAAATTGGAGAAGTTTATGAATAATAAGATCAAAGATAGTGCCGAGTATAGCCATTATTTAGATTCGTAATTATGTAGAAAATAAAATTGTAGTATATGCACATTTTGCTGCATAATACTTTTTCTTTAAGGGGACCGGATTTATTAGATAATGATTAGTAAACACAACGCAGGGAAGGAGAAACAACCAAAAGAAAAAAAAAGAGTCAAAACGGGCCAAGCGTGAGTCCGGAAATATTTAAATCGACTTTCAACCTTCTTTTTTTTTTTCCTTCCTTTCTGTTCTGTTCATTTTTAGATTAAACTCCTTCTTTCAACGATCAACCTACCATGTCTCCGAAAGTTTACTCATACTCAGAATCTCAAGAAGTCGCCAATGCCGTTGGTAAATATGTCATTGAACACCAAAACAAAGCCATCGAAGCAAATGGTACTTTCAAGATCGCTTTATCTGGGGGTTCATTGGGAAAAATCTTAAAGCAAGCTTTAATTGATAATAAAGAAATCGGATCCCAAGCTCAATGGGATAAATGGGATGTTTATTTTAGTGATGAAAGATTAGTTCCTTTGTATCACCCTGATTCCAACTTTGGCTTATTCAACGAAATGGTTCTTAAAAATTTGCCAGCAGATACCAAAAACTTAAAATTGAACGTAATTGACGCTAGTTTGTTGACAGGTAAGGATGGTAAATTGGATGATCTTGTTGATCAATCCAAAGATGAGGCAATTGCTAAAGAATATGCTTCTAACTTACCAAAGCAATTTGATGTTATTTTACTCGGATGTGGTCCAGATGGCCATACTTGTTCCTTGTTTCCAGGTCATAAATTATTGAAAGAAAGAAGTGAATTGGTTGCCTATATTAACGATTCCCCAAAACCACCTCCAAGAAGAATTACTTTTACATTCCCAGTATTGGAAAATGCCAAATCGATTGCATTTGTTGCTACAGGTGCAGGCAAAGCCCCAGTTTTGGCAGAAATATTTAGTGGTCAAAGTCAATTGCCTTGTGCTTTAGTTAACGACATCAAATCAGGCACAACTATCAATTGGTTTGTTGATACTCCAGCTGTTGAAGGTGTTGACGTTTTAACTAGTAAATATTAAGTTTCGTTACGTAGTACATTGCAAATATAGAGGAGCATGAGAAGAAATAGAAAAATAGACAAAGAAATAAAATAAAGAACGAGAAAAAAAAATATTACAAAATGTTAAAAAATTAATTCCCACGCATTTTGCCTTGGGCTTTCTCTGTTTTTTTTATTCACGTTAAGCCGGATTCAATTCGTGTTTTCTACTTATCATCGATCATAAAGTATTTTTCAACCATGGGTATGTTCTTCAATATCACTTATCAATTGATTATGTATCTCATGTGAGCAGGGTTTACTAACATGTTCTTAAACAAACTAGGAGTCGCTTTATGGCTATGTCCAAAACAAAACACACCAGCTTATGATAAGTTGTTAACGCTTATGGGTTCATTGAATACCTTATTTCCCGGACAACCTCCAAAATTTGAACCTCATATTACTATTACCACTAGTATAGTTATGGACTTGAATGATACTGCGAAAACAAAAGATGATGTTGACAGAATCTTATCTGCCAGTGCCGTGGCACTCAATTCACTCCCAAAGAATCACGAAAGCTTAGTTAAGTTAGGAAATGTAAACAGTCAACGAAAGTTTTTCAAGAAACTTTATTTTGAGGTGGAAAAGGATCCAAATTTGGTGTCGTTTGCCAGAATTATACGAGAACTATTTGTAATTGTGCCCCAAGATATCCAACAAGAAGACATGAAACAAAATCCACATCTTTATACGACTGATTCACATGGGAATTCAATTAGAAGAAGACCACTGAAAAGAAGAAACAGTACACAGACAATCAAGGAATTTGATACAACTTCAATACGTCAAGCAGCTACCTACAAAGCTGCAGAATGGTCAATTGACGAGTTTGATCCGCACGTTTCATTAGTATACAGCGATATATGGCCAATTGATAGTGCATTATGGAGAAATATTAACACAAGAATACTTGATATAGGCTGGGATGTAGAATGGGATCACAGTGTATTGAAATTAGTCCTTTGTGAAGGTGATGTCCGTGATTGGGTGGTATTAGGAAGTGTGGATGTACACTAGGGTGGTTTTTTTTATTTTGTTATATTTTATTTTGCTTTGATTTTTTGTTATAGTAATTGTATAGTTGCAGGTTTATCTTCATTACGTATCATTGTTGTTCTAATTAATTGGTTAATCTTGGATACATATTTGTAACTACACAAAAAATTACACAAAAAATGTCGAAAAGCAGTTCCGACATAAAACTCGACTGATACGCAAAGAATGAAAAAAAAAAACACATCTCTTCACAAACTTGGCTTATCCATATTAACATCATTACCTTGAACTACAACCCAAATTATATTATGGCAAGTGAGACTTATACATGTTTAACATGTTCTGAGAAATTTGCCGAAGGTTCACAAATACAGAAACATCTTTCCTCAACCAGACACAAGTCGGTTAGGTTAGAGAACTTGGATGAAACTCTTGAATGTGAAGAATGTGCTGATAGCAACATCCATCAATTGGTAATTGTTCGATATGGGTTCAGTGATATGTCATTATTATGTAATTCATGCTTAGATAAGGATACTCAGAAAACTGGAGAATCGCCAAGTGCAAGCTATTCATTATCGAATGGTGCATTTTTCAATAAACTTCCACAGTATTTAAAATTCAGAGACATTGAATGTATGGATTGTGGAGATGATTCCCGTTTGTATGTTGCAAACCCTCCTAAAGGTCAGCTTGTTATTTGTAAGAAATGTTTACCAAAATATGAGACCGACAAAGTCAAGTTTATCAGTGAGGATAGTGACACGTTTTTGTCAGAATTACTAGGTATAAAAGAAGCAATCGTTAAAAGATCATCCAGAAAGAGAAAAGTCGGTAAGAAAGGAGGAAAAAGAGGCGGCAAGGGGAGACGTCCAAGAAAAGATGACCCAGAAGCAGAAGCCAGAAGAGAGCACTATCTACAGACCAAGAAAACAGCAAGTGATCTTAAATCTGGTACAACTGTGAAAGCAATAGGATCCACTGGTGCAGCCCCAAACTCAAGTTCAAGAACAAACTCAAAGTCAAACCAAAGTAGCAAAGCGGGTGGCAAGTCTAGTAAACCATCAAAATTTAGTGGGAGTGGGAAATCGACACCGAAAACAGGTAAAAGTCCGTTTTCTAGTGGGAAATCAACACCAAAAGGTGGGAAAAGTCCCGCTAGCAGTCGTTCTCAAACTCCACTGCTCCCAAATACTACAGGCAGACAACAATCTGGCTCCAGAAATGCCAGTTCTAAAACAAAAACCAGCACCGGGAAACAACCTCCATCAAGTGGGAACCTGTCTACTAATCCATTATCTGAAACGAAGAAAGGTGACAAGAAGGACAAGGATCTGAAAAGACCCACAAACAAGAAGGAGTCAACAACAAAAGAAGATGATAAGTCCAAACCAAAGTCCAAAAAAACCCCGAGTGTTAAGGAGAAGAAACCTCATCCAAAAGTCGATTCTAAACAAAAGACATCTGAGGATGAACAGAAACCTAACAATGCACTGAAACAAAATAGTTCCAAGTCAAAGAGTCAAAAAGCTGATAGTAAAAAGACTACTAAGAACGAAGTGAAAGAAAAGAAATCAAAATCTTCTACCCCGGTTCCTTCTGATACTTCCAACGAACTTGGTCTTCCATCTTATATTACGAAGTTTCATCCATCACCAAAACCAAAGCTCACCTATGATTCATTGAACGAGTACTTTAAGGAAATAAGTTTTAATGTATTCTTGGAAGATCAGTTGACCAATGAACTGAATATCTTAGATTCCAGTAATTTCACTATTTCCTGGTACGAGGATCAAGATAAGAAAAATAATCAGTACCAGTTGCACATTCCGATGAATTCAGATGTCACTGACAAGTTTGTGTCTCACAAATTGAAGAAATTTAAAAAGAACCCCTTTCTGGTTGATCAGACAATGTTTTTGATTTTGAATGATGAGATTATGTGGTCTGGTTATATTGCAACTGCTGATGAAGTTGCTAGCAAGAAAGGTAGACGAGTCAAGAAAGACGTTATTGAATTGATCATTGTCTTACATCCATGGACACAACCATTACCTAGAACTGTTCATGTGTCCAATTTGAAAATATTGCCAGCATCACAGCCCGTCAGCAGAGTGTTGAATGCTATGAAAACGCTTAACAATTTAAGTTTTATTAAAATGATTCTTGGTAAGGAACCAATCAGACAAATTGATTTTAGAAATTTCATTAAATTTCGTGGAGAAAACTTAAATGATTCTCAAAAGAAAGGTGTCCAATCTGTTCTTAATAACTCAATTACTGTGTTGCAAGGTCCACCAGGTACTGGTAAAACATCGACAATCTACGAGATTATATTACAGCTACTTGACTCATTGAATACTTACCCTATTCTTGTTGTTGCAGCATCCAACATTGCCATTGATAATATTGCAGAAAAATTGATGAAGAACCACGAGAAGGATATCTTGAGAATTACTGCTGGAGAGAAAGAACGTGATTATAACCGTTCTCATCCATTGGCATCAATTTGTTTACACCATAAAATGTATGATGCTATGCCAATGAGATATCAACAAGTGATGGATGAAATGAGGCGTGGATATGCGCCATCTATAGGTACCACTGCTTATAAGAAGTTTGCTCAGGAGAGATTTTTCTTATCAAACCAGATTGTCACCCAAGCTAAAGTTGTTTTGGCTACTCCTGTTGTTGCTGGGGGTATAAAATCGTTAAACAATGTAAGAGTTGTTATCATTGATGAAGCTACACAATCATCTGAACCAACAACATTGATTCCATTGGCATTACCATCCGTTGAGAAATTGGTCCTTGTTGGTGATCAGAAACAATTGAGTTGTTTTTCATTGATTCCAAACTTGTCTTTGTCATTATTTGAGAGAGTTTTATTGAATGGTACATACAAGACACCACACATGTTGGATACCCAATACCGTATGCATCCTGATATAAGTGAGTTTTCAAGAAATAGATTTTATGGAGGTTTATTGAAAGATGGTATTGATTCTAGTGCTAGACATATTGAAGGTGTCACATCAAGTCCATTATATTTCTGGGACACCAAAGGTAATGCTCGTGAGCAATCAGTTAGAAACTTTTTACGTGAAGATAGAGGTTATACCTACACAAACCGTGATGAAATTGCTTATATCCAACAAGTTTTGAGAACTTTGATTATTTCCAAAGGGGTTAAACGTGACCAAATTGGTATAGTTACTCCATATTCTGGCCAGCGTGACTTGATTTCTTCTGTTTTGGTGAATGATGAAATTATTAATCCAACCAATGAACAAATGAAGACTGAGGTTGATATTGATGATTTGAAGAATGATTCCAAACCAGTCACCATTCATATTGTTTCGGGAATTATGATTGCTTCTATTGATGCATTCCAAGGTAGAGAAAAAGACTTTATGGTTATGTCCTGTGTTAGATCAAATACTAAAGGTGTGATTGGGTTTTTGAAAGATGAACGTAGATTGAATGTTGCCTTGACAAGAGCCAAATACTCATTAATTATGATTGGTGATGTCGAATGTTTGAAGAGAGGAGATAAATTATGGAAGGATTATTTAGAATACTTGGATACGAAAAATGCAATTCACAATGATGATATTTTCATCTATTAAAATAGGATTTATAGATTTATGAGAATATATATTACGTAATCACAAAAACCACTACTCCTTATCGTAAAGTCAGAAAGTGAGAGAACAAAAAAAAAATAGATTCCTAAAAATAAATTGTATAAAGAAAAATGCAAGAAAAGGAGCGAATACACAAATCCGTATCATTTATCGAAACAATTATTATTATTAATGACAGCTACATCAAAACCACAAGGCACTAAATCTATAAAATACGTAACTACTCAGTCATTCGTTGAATCGTCCTTTTTTACTAGGTTGTCACAATTGAAATTGGATCAATTCAAGCTAGATTCCTCGCGTGTTGCCGTCAAAGGATTCATTACCAATCCTACAAAATTGAACAAATTTAATGATGTTCCTATACTAAATTTTGATCAAGATAGTTTTGAATCAACTAAAGATAGTCTGAAGGTCTATATATCTGGTGAACTTTTGAATGTAAATACAATTGAAGAGTTCAAATCTTTAGACAAACCCGGCTTACTAAATTCGTGGGGTCAAGAAATGTATCAAGATATAATCCATTCAGAAGTGTTGGATTACAGGAAGTTTAATAAATTTCATATGTTAAGTTTTTCTGATTTGAAGAAGTACAAATTTTATTATTGGCTTGCTTATCCGATTTTGAGCAATACTTGGTCACTTAACAACGCCGAGCTAGAAGTTGATCCTGGGGTGATTCGACTAATTGAATCAGATTTGGAAAATGGATTTCACCAGTTTTATCAATTATATGATGGGAAGTTGCACAAGAGAATCGATATTGATAAAGATCACACGTTTGTTTTTATTGATTTGTGTTTGAATAGAGAAAAGAGATCTTCCAATCAGGTTAAAAATTACTTGTATTATCTTGCTTATAAAGGAGTGAAGGAAATAAGTCTAATCACTTACCGTCGTAATGGAACGTCAGTAAAAGAATCATTATCTTTAGATTCATATTCCGATCCTCCAAAGTTTTCTGGGTGGGAACGAACAAGCCAAGGTAAGTTAAGTCCGAAACTTGCAGATTTGGGCTCTTTAATTGATCCAATGCAACTAGCAGAGCAAGCAGTAGAATTGAATTTGAAATTAATGAAATGGAGGATTGCTCCAGATATTGATCTCGATATTATCAAAGAACAAAGAGTTTTGCTTCTTGGTGCTGGGACGTTGGGAAGTTATGTTGCTCGAGCATTAATGGGATGGGGTGTTCGTAGAATAACATTCGTTGACAATGGACGAATTTCTTACTCAAATCCGGTGCGACAACCGTTATTCAATTTTGAGGATTGTTTCAGTGATAACGGACAGGGTGAGATTAAGGCTCTTAAGGCTGCCGAAAACATGAAAAAGATATTTCCTGGTGTTGATACAGTGGGCTACAATCTTGAAGTCCCCATGATTGGACATCCAGTAACAGATGAACCAAAACAAAAACAAAATTATGAAACCTTGTGTAAACTCTTTGACGAGAACGATGTGGTATTCTTGTTGATGGACTCACGAGAATCAAGATGGTTACCTACCCTATTAGGAGCAGTTAAGGATAAAATCGTGATCAATGCTGCGTTGGGGTTTGACAGCTTTCTTGTGATGAGACACGGAAGTCTTAAACAACTGGAACGACTTGGTTGTTATTATTGTAATGATGTTGTGGCACCTAATGATAGCTTATCTGATCGTACATTAGATCAAATGTGTACTGTGACAAGACCAGGTGGCGCATTAATGGCATCTTCGTTGGCAGTTGAGTTGCTAGTTTCAATTTTACAACATCCGGAGAAGAATATTGCTCCACATGAGTCCCAAACAAAATTTGGTAAAGTACCACATCAAATTAGAGGGTTTTTACACAATTTTGAACAAACTAAATTGTATGCACCGAATTATTCACATTGTTCTGCGTGTTCAACAGCAGTAATTGATGCTTACAAAGAAGGGGGGTGGCTGTTTGTCAAACAATGTTTAGACAGTTCTCAATATTTAGAGGATATATGTGGTTTGACGAAAGTACAAGAAGAAGCCGAATTGGCAACCAAACAGTTGATTGAAGATATGTCTCTTGAAGATGACGAGGATGCGGAGTGGCTAGATTAAATAAGTTCGATATTTTGACGTGGTGGTTGTGCGAGCGGTACACGCGCCTGAAAACGCCCAAAAAAAAGTAACAGGAAAAGAAAAAAAAAAAGAAGAATCAAAAACTGTAGAATCAAAATCAAAACAAATGAGAAAAATTGTATATACACAGATAAACTTTATACACATATCTCTTTCATATATCTTTATACAAAAAAAGAAAACATGAATGCATTTTCATCACCACATAAACATATGAAAGACCCAAATACTTCAACTGGACAAATAGTTTTTGGATCTCAGTTTAATCAATTTCAAGATAATGCAGAACAGGATTTTGTCAGTTTGATAGATGGGAATTGCGATGATGATATTATGGCTCCTTGCATAGATGATACTGTTACTTATAAACTACAAAAGGTATCAGGACCATTGTTAAGTCAGATTTCAAATCTACATATTCAACAGGCATTAATCATTAGAGAGTTGATATTTACATTGTTGGGATATGAAGGACATTATATTCAATACAGTCGGCACTACGATCCATCTTCACCATTGAGTAGGATTTCCGGTCCAGATTACAAAATAGCTAAAAATTTAGATATCAGTTTGAAAAATATTGCCAAAAAGTTGATGAGATTTGGGAAATACTATAGTGGATTAAGATCATTTATTCAGATCTATGATGACACAGGATTTGGAAGAATTGTTCAAAAGTTTTGTTATGAAATTAGTGAATTTTTGAGTCATTATCAAAGAGTCATTATGAATTTGGAGCATGAATTTAAGTTTAATAAGAATTTCAATTTAAATATGTTGGATCAAATGCTACATCAAGAAGTAGCCAATAAGTTAACACATTTCTATGAAATTTCATTAGAGATTAATAGAATTACCGAAGAAAGACAAAGATTATCTCAGATAGACGTTTTGGATAAATTCGAATCTTCATTCATCAATAATTCAAATTTCAATGGAGTAAATTCAGAACCTAATTTATATCATGTGAAATCAGATTGCTGTAAAGGAGGTTCAGTATTGCAGATTATTCAAGAGAGAATAATATACTATAAAGGGGATCCTGTTTCTTTGGAATTCTTGACCCGACTATTTGATACAGTGAGTGTTGATTATGTTTCGATGTTGAATCAATGGCTATTAGAAGGTGTTATTGATGACCCATTTGATGAATTTTTGGTCAGAAAGAAAAATGTACCACCAGCATTTTTAGAAGCTTTTCAAAGCAAAAGTGAATACTATTGGAATGAATTGTTTTTAATTAAAACTGATGGGTTACTAAATCAATTCCGAAATTCAGCCGTACAAGCAAAGATACTAAATACTGGGAAGTACCTAAATATATTCAAGAATTGTACTGGTTTAGCAAACTTTGAAAAATTGCAAGAAAAGTTAATAACCATTTCCAGTTTAACAGCATCGGATTTAGAACTTAGATTAGATGAATTTTACCAAAGAGCCAACAAAATGCTAATGAAATTACTTTTTGAAGGATATGATTTCCCTAGCGTTGTTAACGTATTCCAAAACCTATTTTTACTCCAAGACTCCTTTAACATTGACAAATTTATTGATGCAAATTTGCAAGATTTGAAAAAGCCAAAATTGAAAGTATCTGTATCTAGGTTAAAGAAACAGTATGATGATATATTTAAGACTAAAATGGAAAATAAAGTAGGTGTGCAACCAAACATGCATGATGTTGTTCAAGAGAATCAAAAATTTACTGTCAATTCTGAATCATTATATCAAATTGTTGAAGAATTGTTGGAGAAGAATCTGGATTATGCCATTCCTGATGAACACATCAGAGGTTTTTACCATAAGGTCATGCCTGCTAGAAATGACCTGAAAATGACAATACTGAGTGGAGAGTCTTTGGAAAATACGGTTAAAGATACATTGACTATATCTAGTATTGATGTGAATGTTTCATTGCCATTCCCTTTAAATTTGGTCATGAACCAGCAATTGTCTTACCAATACCAAATCATGTTCCAATTATTAGTCAATATCAAGTTTATTTCCAAATATAATGGTGCCAACTGGCAAGATTTGAACTACTCACGTATCTGGAAAAACCGTAATTTCGAACCAAGAGTTAAAAGATTAATATTAAGATGCAGAGTTTTGCACTCTAGAGTATGCCGATTCATCACTGAACTTGAAAATTACATCATGTATGATGTAATCGAATACAATTATGAAAATGTCAAATCGTTAATATCACACACAACAAGTGTTCTTGCAACAAACAAAGTTGGTTCAGATATAAATAATGAAATCGACCAAATATTCAATGGTACATTACTTGGAGGTACATTTAGTAACAATTCAATTTTTGATGATAAAATCCATAGACAAAGGATCGCAGCTCGTGGTAATACCAACAATGGAGGTGGACCAACACAAGATGGAGCTGAGCGTTTATTAACTGTTGAACAACTTATCCATAAATTATCAGATTATTCAAGCAATCTAATGAATGAGAGCTTGCTTACAAAAAAAGAATCATTGCAACAATTGAGATCAATTTTAGATTTTGTATTACAATTTAATAATTATATTGTTCAGATCAAGAAAGTTTTAGTTTTATTGAATCATGAATTGTATCAAAAATTTTCTGAAGACTTCCCGGCACGATTTAACAGACCTATGGATCAAGCACTGATGGATTTAAGATATCTGAATTTGTATAATACTTTTCTTGAACAATACCAAAAATTTGGAGAACACTTGGTTGCATTTTTGGCTACGATAAAGAAACTTGGTGAAAGGGAAAATAGAGGGTTATTAGAATTGAGTGATAGATTAGAGCTTTGCTTCCCAGAATAATCAAGAAATCTTTCTTTTCTTTTTTCTTCTTCTTCTTCTTCTTCTTATGTAATGTATGTAACGATTCTATTGAAAACAATAAATCTGAAATCTATTAACTTATAACAGTATCTTCATCTGTTGCTTGAGCATTCAATTCCTTAATTATAGCATCAGTTTTTTCATCATCGTAAATTTGGAACCCGCCATCAACAGTCACACTAGCCAATTGAGCATTCTTGCAATCCAATTTTTCTTCCATTACTTGCTTTAAAATCTTCAAAGCCAACAATTCAGCTTCTTTTAAGGTCAATGATTTATGATACTCGTTGTTTAATTCTGCTTGAGCACCTTCACTACCTGAACCAATGGCTTTGGCTTCATATCTGTAAAAAGTACCAGATGGTTCGGCATGGTATAATTGAGGACCTTTTTCTTTATCAACACCAGCAATTAATAAAGCAACACCAAATGGTCTTGACATTAACCTCTTTTCACCCCCAGCACCTTCACCAAAACGTAATGCTAAATCACATACACTTTGAGTCAAACTTTCAACACCAATATCTTCATCATAGTATAAATTATGAGTTAAACTAGAAACACGGGCATGATCAATCATGGATCTAGCATCTGCTGTTAACCCACTCATGGCACATCCAATATGATGATCTATTTCGACAATTTTTTCAATCGACGATGATTCCAATAATGATGAAGTGACTCTTTTTTCAACACCTAATATCACACCTTCACTAGTGGATATACCAATTGCTGTGGATCCTAATTTAATGGCCTCAAGGGAATATTCGACTTGGAACAATCTACCTTCTGGGGAAAATGTGGAAACACCACGATCGTATTCACTTCTAGTCAAAAACATTTGTTATTTGTCAATTGGGTTGTATATAGTCTTGAAGAATTAGAAGAAATAATAATAAATCAGACTGTTTCTCTAGGTTAGTTTGTTTGATTGTCTCGTTAGTGGTGGCGACAAGTCTACTGCTCTTTTTTTTTTTTCAGTGCACTTGTTTTGGAATTGTCCTCAATTTTTGACCATCCTCACACGACTTTAGATGTTCTACTTTGAACATACTTCTCGAACGAATGTGTATATTCTATTTTGCAAATGATGAAAATATAACAATGTATATAAAGTTTACTAATTAGTAGTATCTATAACTTTTCTCTCTTTAATATATATATAAAAAAACACCAGTTTGTAATAATATTTTATAGTAAGGATAAAACGTAATTTTTTTTTCATTTTCTTTTATTCATTTTGTACAAACTTAAGCAGATTTTTTTGGAGCCAATTCAACAATCTTTTCAGCAGCTGGGTCCAAGTCTTCGAAAGCATACAATTTCAAGCCAGAGTTGTCAATCAATTCTTTGGCTTCGGCCATGTTAGTACCTTGTAATCTGACAACAACTGGAATGTCCAAGTTAAAGTTCTTGGTGGCAGCAATTAAACCTTTAGCAACATAATCACATCTGACAATACCACCAAAGATGTTAACAAAAATACCGTTAACCTTTGAATCAGACAAGATCAATTCAAAAGCTTTTTCAATGGTTTCTGGAGTAGCAGTACCACCACAATCCAAGAAGTTGGCTGGTTCACCACCATATAATTTAATGATATCCATAGTGGCCATAGCTAAACCGGCACCATTGACAATGTTGGCAATATTACCATCCAATTTGATAAAGTTCAATCCGTATTTGGAAGCTTCAACTTCTTGTGGATCTTCTTGGGTTGGGTCTCTCCAGGAGAAAACTTCTTCTTGACGGAATGAAGCATTGTCATCGAAACCTAATTTAGCATCCATGGCCAAAACTTTGTGATCTGGGGTTTCAGACAATGGGTTAATTTCAACTTGGGTACAGTCACGTTCAATAAAACAGTTGTACAAGGATTGAATGGTTTTGGCAGCTTCTGGAATAGCATCTTGGGTAAAGCCCAAAACACCGGCAATTTCAGTGGCCAAAGAATCAGAAACACCTTCTTCTAATGGGACTGGGAAAGTTTTAATGGCAGATGGATCTTTAGCAGCAACACCTTCGATATCCATACCACCTTGGGCAGAAGCAACAATGATTGGGGTTTGCTTAGCTCTGTCCATCAAGATGGCAACATAAGCTTCAGTAGCAGCATCTCTTCTTTCGACAATGTAAACAGCGGTGACTTCTTTACCAGCAGCACCGGTTTGTTTAGTGATTAATTTGTGGTTCAACATTTGGCCAGCCAAGTCTTTGGCTTCTTCAGCAGAAGAAATCAATTTGACACCACCTTGTAAACCAGAGTCAAAGTGACCTTTACCACGACCACCAGTCAAAGCTTGGGCTTTGATAACCAATTCGTTGGTACCCAATTTTTTGGCAGCTTCATAAGCGCCTTCTGGGGTGGTGGCTGCATAACCTCTTGGGATTGGGACACCATATTGGCTCAATAAAGCAGCAGAACGGTATTCATGTAAGGACAAGAATCTCTTTTGTTGAGCAGCTGCCTGGTAAAACAAAAAAATATAGTTAGTAATGATTGCTCTGGTACAAAATAATTTGCCAACACCCAAAAGAAATAATAGATAATTCAATAAAACGTATACTAAATTGCTGGCATGAGGAACTGGTGATTATTAGTACAGTTTTACAGTATTGTCGATACATTAGTGTTGATGGATCACCAATTCACTGTCCAACAAAAAAAAAAATCGAGTTAAACTTGGTTCAGCACTGTTTTCCCCTCCCTTCCTCTGCTCATGCTGGGAAAAAAATATTGTACTTCTATTATTTCTGATGTTCTAGATCTCCTTTGGTAGAAAGAAACCCATATGAAAAAACTAGGGCAACACATACTCTTGAAACACGGGCAAATGATCTGGATAACATTGTAGCGATCTAATTGAAGGTTGATAGTGAATAGATAATGGTTTGGTTGATGAAGAAAAGGAAGAAAAAAAAAAGAAAGTAATAGCAAAAAAAAAAAAAATCGGAAACAAAAAAGAAAAGTTGACTTTGGGTTTTTGCGTGTAGTTATTATATTTTGACTTACCGTTCTTTTTTTATGTTCTGTGTCAAACGAAAAAAAGACCTCATTTAAACCTTGTTTAATGCCGTACACGTAATAGCACGCTACAAGGACGTGTTATATATTAAGCACTACATCGATGAATAACGGTACTACTTTATTTACATGGTTCTTTGAATGATTGATTCATTGATTCATCAAACTTGATGGCAATCTTGTAAAATTTCAAATACCACTGGGGCACATTTTTCAAAGTGGGTCTTGGGTGTATTACCCCTCTCGCTCCTAGGTATTCCGGGACGGATCTTTGTTTTCCACTTAAAAGAGCGACAAAGAAAAAAAAAAACGACAACGACAACGATAAAATTTTCATGTTACAAACGAATGAGAATAATATTCCAGTTGGGACTTACTTGAAGATATTTTTCGTCATTTTAAAGTGGTGGTAGTATACGCTCCCGGCGGGGGTGTGAACAACTTGTGGGTTAAACATGCCCCGATATTTCTTGTTTACTTTAATCAGTACTAAAGAAATTCTCCCCACCAAAGCACCTGCAGGGTACAAGTTTTACCCAAAATAAAAGCGAGAACAAAAAAAAATTGGATCGACCGAGGTCGCTCACAAGTGGCATTTTTCCACACTTCATAATCGAGGAAATAATCCAATAGTATAAAAAGATTTGTATATCAACTAACATAAAAAAAGTGTAAATCTATCTATTGTAAGTCTTTACCAAACATATACGCACCTACAAGTTTATCCTCTCCTTTTAATACAGCTACATTTTTTATATAACCAATTCTTTCAAACCCTAGAGAATCCCAAATTTTCAAACTGGCTGTATTAGTTTCAAAGACCAAGTTAAACACAGAATAGACATATCCCAACTCTGGTGCAATCTCAAGGTATTTCTTTCCCAATTCACCTCCCAATCCTAACCCTCTCTGGATATGATTAACCATGAATCCTGCATTACAAACATGTGAACATCTTCCTACATAGTTAGGCTTGACATAAAAGGTTCCAAGGAAAATTTCAGTCCATTTTTCAACAGATAAATTCTTCAACTCATCAAATGATTTGTAGTCTCCGTCAATTAAAATGGATGCAAAATGGGTAAACCAATATTTGATGAATGCATCGCCATATATTTTGTTATTATATGGATATGTTCTTCCTTCTTCAACAACATAATTGAATTCGTTCTCCATCACTTGTATCAAAATAAAGGAACAGTTTTGTGATCATGAATGTTAAATAATCCGAACTGGGTGATTTGGTCTCT